ATGCTAAATTTGCCGGCAAAAGGTGCAGATCACCCCCTTAACTCACCTACTGGTAGCAAATCACTCCCTCAATCCATTTCATGTGCATACTACCCCCTCAACTCACTTTCAGTGGCAAATCACCCCCTGGCACCATTCTTCCGTTAGCTTTTAACAGTCCGTTAACCCACCCCTTTTTTGCGTCTGATGTGGCATTTTTTATGCTGAGATGGACAAGCCACCTGGACAAATCATCCTCAGGCAATGCCCCGTACTGCCGCCGACGTCAACCAGGCGCTGGATCCCATCAAACCCACTGTAGGCTTCTAGCATTGCTTTCATGAAAGGCACGGGGACTCCCGACATAGCCTTCTGCATCAACCCAGTCATCTCCAGCCTTTTTCCGTAGTAAGTGTACGCCGGCTCACTGTTCACCTTCACGAATGGTTCCGATGTCGGATCCACCACTGCCTCGTGAACCAATGGCCATGCTTTCATTAGCTTGTCCTGTAAAAAAATCGTCGATTTTTATGATACAAGTACAATTAAATGAAAATTTCATTAAACTTGGGGAAAATTGGATTGAAGAAAAACTGCAATAAATAAACCTGGAAGTGCTGGAGCACGTAAGACTTGCAGGAAAGACCGTTGGCGTCGGTGACGAGCATCTTCCCGATCTCAGTTAGTGAGTATTTTCTCTCCGCACGGTCAGTATCATGCAGTACCTCCGCGAACACACCATAGCTAGTGAGCATACGGAGGATGCGCTGGAGGTTCTCGGCATCCCCACCATCGGAGGGGAGAACTTTCGAGACGATCTGGGAGGCGGTGAGAGCGGTATTAGCCCCACCTTGCCATATTGCGTTTGGAACGTTGAGGCGGACGATGGCGTTGAGGGACATAGGAACGCTTAGCATGTTGACCAGTTCAAAAATGGCGAGTCTTGCTCTGTGCTGGGTCTCCATTGTCTCTTCCATGGGTTCGGTCTTCGGTGCTGGTAACTAGCCACTAATTTTCTCTGTCTTAACTCTTCAGTTAGCATTTTTTATCTGGATGATTTGTCCAGGTGACTTGTCCATCTCAGCATAAAAAATGCCATCAGACGCAAAAAAGGGGTGGGTTAACGGACTGTTAAAAGCTAACGGAAGAATGGTGCCAGGGGGTGATTTGCCACTGAAAGTGAGTTGAGGGGGTAGTATGCGCGTGAAATTTGTTGAGGGGGTGATTTGCCACCAATAGGTGAGTTAAGGGGGTGATATGCACCTTTTGCCAAATTTGCCCGTCTTCCTCAATTAATATCCCTAAATTTGCCATACCCAATGATAAAGCAACTGTTCTCTAGCATTCCGGACCTTTGCAACTCGGTATTGGCCCTTGATGAAGACGACATCGCACAATTTCTTCTTCAACAAATGAAATCCCCAATTCACAAAACCAAAATTTGTGTCTGAAACAAACCCATGGTCCCTATCT